CCACCTGGATAGGGAAGGGAAGGAGGCAGCATTGATAATCATTTTTTTCGTCTCTCTTCCCCACCTCATTTCTTAGTTTTCAGCTTTTTTTTTTTAAAGATTTTTTTTTTTTATTTGACACAGACCCTCTGCCATTTAAAAAGGACCTAAAAATTGCTGCAAGTTTTTTTTTGTAATCTAATCACTGTATCCGTGGCACAGCAGCAGTTCGGCCACGCGGGTGCTTTTTTTCATCATGACCTGCCGGAGAGAGCAGAGCGGTCAGGGTGGCGGTGGTCAGGGCAGCAAGATGCAGGCCTGGACCGGGACAGGTAGAACCGTTTCAAAGAAATACCTATTCATGAAGTTTTTTTTTAACGCAGGGGCGCTTACAAGTCTCAGGAGTCTGGTTACGCTTCGTTTGCTGATTTTTTTCCAACACCCTCCCCCCTCTCCCCTGTTGTAACTCTTTACTCAGTCCTAACTGAGTTTTTTTTTATTCTCCTCATGGAAAGTATTGTGACCTGAAAATTTTAGGCAAGGTTAGTGTTTTTTTTTTGATTTCTGTTGGAACATGGGAATCTATTTTGTTAAATGATTTATGGGCAGAGTTACGTCTAAAAGCTTTTAAAGTCTTAGATTATTTCCCTTGATGTCTCTCCCACCTCAGCCATAATCCGGATCTAAAAATATTTACTAGGCAGTCAGCTGATATTTTACAGAGAAAAATGCTTTAGAGGAGAAATAATGTTTTATTTATTTATTTTTTAAGAGTTTATTTATTTGACAGAGACAGCCAGCCAGAGAGGGAACACAAGCAGGGGGAGTGGGAGAGGGAGAAGCAGGCTTCCCGCTGAGCAGGGAGCCCGATGCGGGGCTCGATCCCAGAACCCTGGGATCAAGACCTGAGCTGAAGGCAGACACTTAATGACTGAGCCACCCAGGCACCCCTGAAATAATGTTTTAAGTTGTTTAGTTTTCCTCTTAAATCCGCTGTGGGAGGCTTTTATGTTTCATTGTCGTATATGTTTGCGCTCATAAACTGAATATAGTCTGACAGTTTGAGCCAAAATTGGAGATAGAGGGGAAAAAGTAATGTCACGTCTAGTCTTATAAGATGATGAAAATGAGTTATTTTTTTAACAGATGATTTACCATTTTTAATATTTTAAGTTTACATTATAGGTAAGGGATAAAGTTTAAAGGGTAATATATTTAATGTAACAAACACTATATTTACATTGTACAGGATTTTATAATGTAACAGGATTTTATAACGTTAGATAGTAAATTGCTATGTAAAATAGAGCTCGGATGTTAGTCACATCAGAGCAATGAATAATTTAGAAAAAAGATGTTTTGGAGCTGTAAGCCTGTAGCATCCACTTGTGTATATGTACATTATACAAACACTTACTTTCTTATTTTAACAATAAAACAGTTTTTGATAACTAAATATCCAAAATGGAGTTCTTTATTCTTGTGAGTTTATGTATTTTAAAATGTACCATGTAATTGAAAGACAGTACTTTTTGTTTCATGAATATTAGAAACGTCCATTTCCTCCCTTAAAAACCATATGTTATCATTTCCACTAGTGATATATGTCAGATATTTCATATATAGAGGGAAAAAAAGTGGTTCTTAGTATCTCAGAAAATGATGAATTAAAACTATAATTAAAATCTCTTTTAAAATTATTAATATCATTTGAAGTCTTTAATAACTACAATATTTTTGCAGCTTTAAACTATTCCTCATTTCTTTTTCTTTTTTCTTTTTTTAAAGATTTTATCCCCTTATTTGAGAGCGCACGCACACACAGTGCATGCACACACACAAGCAGGGGAGGCAGAAGAGGCAGAGGGAGAGGCAGAGGGAGAGGAAGAAGCAGACTCCCCACTGAGCAGGGAGCTGGAGGCAGGGCTTGATCTCAGGACCCTAAGATCATGACCCCAGGGGAGGGCAGATGCTTAACCGACTGAGCCACCCAAGCGCCGCAAGCTATCCCTCACTTCTTATAACACTTTTCTAAGAATGCAAAAGGAATGAACATATATTTCTTTAAAAATCTACACAATTAATAAGATTCCTTAATAACAGCTTGGATCTAGAACGTGACACTGAGATGAATACTAACCATTATAGTCAACAATAAAGCACAAAACATTACCTTGGATTTTAAAGGAATTTAAAAAAATCAGTACTAATTAAAGGGATTCATAAACATATTGAATAAAGGATTTTAACAATGAAGAGAATTATTTATGTAGACCCTCTGCCATTTAAAAAGGACCTAAAAATTGCTGCAAGCATGCTTTTGTAATCTAATCACTGTATAATTAAACAAAAATCTATGGAAGCATATTTTTTCTTATGTAACACTCAAGAGACACTGCTAATGTAAAAGGAATTAAGTTCTGTGGTCGAGGAATCCTGGCTTATCTCTTTGTATTCAGTTTGCCTCTACGAGAAAAGAATAAGAGAATTTCATATTGCAGCCTAGAAGTGCATGGTAATTTTTTTCATGCGCTATGATTCTGCATGATTCCTCAAATCTAATCCATATTGTGTAGTTTGTCATTTAATTATCTCTATCAGTGAAAGTTGATCGATATTTATTGAAAGACAGACAAAAGTTTTCCTCCCCAAATAACCTCTCCTTTTCTCCCCAATTGAATTTATCCCTTCCATCTGTGATGACGAGACGGGAGAGAGAATATTGACATTTTTTCCACTACTAAAAAGAAAACCAAACTGAAGTAGTGGTTTTTTCAATCCCTCTCTTTAGGATCCTTGGTGGGGGAGAACCTGCTTTACACCTGGGCTCCACACCTCAAGGAAGAGAGACACAGGTACGTTGGTGAAGATCTCGGTCTCAGCCGCGTCCCACGGAGGCCGCTCCCCTTTGTTCATGCGCCCCCTGCCGGCGAGGGCCCAGGGCCCCAGCTACCTGGATCGGCCGCCTCCCGAAGCGGTTGACTCCGTTGGGATCCGCACCGGTTTCCAGGAGCTGCCGCACGGTCTCCACTTGCCCCTGCGCCGAGGCGTTGGCCAGGCCCGCGTCGTCGCCACCACCACCGAGCATGCCCTTGTCCTCCTCGCGCATTTCGCAGGCCGCAGACGCAGACTGACCGGGATAATCCACCGCTGGCCGTGAGCGTCGCCACACTCCCTTGTTCCCCACCTCGCCCTGGCGCCGTCTCTCCTCCGTGGGAAAGCTCAGGTCAGCTTCAGCCCTCTTTCGCCGTCCTTCTGTCGCCTTGGAGGTCCTTGCAATGGCCGTGCCACTCGTGGTTAAGCCGGGCTTTTCCCCGCTCGCTCCCGGGAAAAAGCGCCTCGCGTGGCCGCAGCCGAGCGCAGGGTGCCTCCGGCCGCCGAGCGCGGGCGCGTCGCAGCGTTCACTGCAGAGCCTCGCTCCGGCTAGATGGAGAGCCGGCTGGGAATGAATCCGTTTCACGCTGGGCTGCCGGGCAGGGCATTCCCCACCCCCTTAGGCTCCGCCCCCTGTCCGGCCGGCCGGCCGGCGCTGGCACTTCCCACTCCGCTGGCCCGGAGGCCTGGCCCGCAGATGACGTTACAGCCGACGAGGTAGGGGCGGGCGGGAGGGAAGCCAGCCCGGACTGTGCTGGGACGCATGCGCCAGACACTGGGCGTGCGGAGCTTGCTGTCCTGCTGGCCCAGTGTCCTGCAAGGCCTTAGCTAAAGTTTTGGAAAAGTTGAATTAACGCACTCAGCTCCTAATCCCCTCCCTCCAGCAGGCGGAGCAGAGGATTTCTATTCCTTCAGCCCTGTGCCAGCTGGTTTCACTCTGGAGACGTTAGTCGTTCCTTGTGCAGTTGAACGACTGGCTGAGAGAAAGGCATTCAAAATAACTTCGTCTCCCCTAAGATTTCTGAAAGTGACAGTTTTGCACCTGTCACGCGGGTTAAATTCATCCCCAGGGAGTACTTGAACTTCACTAGCTTCACATCTTGCATCAACCTTAGCAATTTTCTTTTGGGTGTGTCTTCTTAGTTGAATTAGTCAAAAATCAGTCACAGTGAAAAATCCTGAGAATCCTGTTTTGAATGTGTTTTTTATTCTTTTCATCTTTGAATAATGGACACACACACACACACAACTCCAAAAAACAAACCTAGTTTGGAAATGACAATGGCAACCTGGTATATGTGAGACTTTTAAAAAATACAAATATATATTTTAAGAATCTGAGATTCCAGTTTCATGATATTTGAATAGTATTTTTGTTTGCACTCTTACCTGTTTAAACCCACTTCACAAGTATTTGATTTTTATTTATCATGAGTAATAAAGGAAATTTATGCAGTAATAATGAAGCATAATAAAACAGGGGTGTGGTGCTGGGCCTGTCATTAAACAGGCTGAACCTGTCATTAAATCCTCTTCTGAAGATTTAAAGGCCAATTGCCTTTCTTCCCAATCTTCCTAGGTGAGTTTGAACTAACATATGTATTGCTTTAAAGATTTAAAAAATTGCAGCTGATGTTCGATTAAAATAGGAAGAGAACCACAAGTTATGTATCTGTTGTCTGAAAGCTTTGATTAGGAACTACATTAGATTGAGCTGCTTCTAACATGGAACAGTTATTTACAAATTAATTTCGGTTCAGAGTGCAGAGGAAGAGTGCCTAAGGAAGGGCAATTGCTTGCTTACTCGTAAATGGGAGTTTGTTTCACATATTTCTTTTTTAAAAAAATTTTTTAAAGATTTTATTGATTTATTTGACAGAGAGAGACACAGCGAGAGAGGGAACACAAGCAGGGGGAGTGGGAGAGGGAGAAACAGGCTTCCCGCTGAGCAGAGAGCCCGAATGCGGGCTCCATCCCAGGACCCTGGGATCATGACCTGAGCCAAAGGCAGACACTTAATGACAGCCACCCAGGCGCCCCTCATGTGTTTCTTCTAGCATACCTTAGCTTGGACTCCCCTCCCCAATCCATTGAAGAATAAGGAAGAATTCTTCAAAGACAGGGGAACCCATAGAAGTGGTGGTTAGGGATGAAGATCTACTGACTGAGACAGAGTTGAAATCCACCTGGATAGGGAAGGGAAGGAGGCAGCATTGATAATCATTTTTTTCGTCTCTCTTCCCCACCTCATTTCTTAGTTTTCAGCTTTTTTTTTTTTAAAGATTTTATTTATTTATTTGACACAGAGATAGAGAGAGAGCACAAGTAGGCAGAGTGGCAGGCAGAGGGAAAGGGAGAAGCAGGCTCTCTGCTGAGCAGGGAGCCAGACGTGGGGCTCGATCCCAGGACCCCAGGATCATGACCTGAGCCAAAGGCAGTTGCTTAACCGACTGAGCCACCCAGGTGCCCCTAGTTTTCAGCTTCTTAATTTCTCTATTTTTCCCTCTTATTTGAACTTCCACTCTTATCTGAAAAAGAAAAGTCCTTTTATTTGTTGATGGTGGCTCCATTTCTTGGTCTGGCCAGAGGAATAGAAGTCTACTTCTGGTTGAAAAGCATAGATGAGCTGTTTTTGACCAGTCTTTGGAGCTAGTCCCCACCCATGGTATACTGGAGATTACAGGTATGTAGGCAGAATGGGAGAAGAAAGAGGAAATATAGACAGTGGGAAGCCAGAGTTTTGAAATGGATGGCATTGTTTCTTTGGCAGTCACTCTGAGGGGCTGAGTCATCAGACTGATAGTGGCGGATGTGGTGGCAAATGGACTCAGTCCAGACTATCTTCGTCAGAACAACATAGCTACCCTGAAATTTAGTGCACAGCCAAATGTAAAAAGGCAGGTTGCCTTTTAAAGGAGTATTGTTGGGATCTTTCTTCTAATGGATCCAGTAATTAAATTAGTTCAACAAAATTTAGCTCAGTATGTCCTATATTCCAGGAGTCCACAATTGAATAAGATATGGGTGCTAGCTTCTAAGAAAGTTTCCCTGGTGGCACTCAAAACTAATAAATAGAGAGTTTCAATTTAACGCAATAACTTTACTGAGGATGTATCTATAGGATATTTTGGGAGTAAGAAGAGGGGAACTTAAATCAAGATGGAGATGCAGAGGAGTTACCAGATGAAGAGTCTCTAAAGAGTGCATCAGAAAATTTTTCCTGTATTCTAGATTTGAGCTTTGGATTTCTCTGAAACTTAACAAAAATGTCAGAAAAAGATAGCGTGAGCCAATTTTTGAGCTACCTCCTTAAGTGGTGAGCATGGCCAAAGTGTCTGAAAAAATGAAAACTATTTAGAGTTGATAAGGAGATGGAAGAAAATTGTTTTTAGTTGAAGGGGACATAGACAAAGAGTGGTAAGACAGAGAAAAAGCCAATTAGCCAAATGTCTGAGAATCTTCCACGAGGCAGATATGTGAGCTTCACTAAGTAAGTTGACTGGAAAAGAATTTTGGGCGGGGGAAATGTTGCTAGCGGTACGTGCGATTACTAGCACCACGGACAGCGCCTTCCTAGGAAGCGCATCTAGGTGGTCCTAACCCACTCCAGACTGAGAATTCCTGAGAAAGCTGCACACTTGATCTTCCAAACCCCCTTTCTCCCCTGAAATTCAAAGAATCACATGGAAACTCGATGGACTAATTTACAAAACATCTTTACAATGGACTGCTCAATCTGATTTACAAATATTACTGGATTATCTAATATTCTCTATGTAAAGAACATGAAATAGTCTCTATATTTAAAAGAAGAGAGGAGAAAAACACTTAATGTCTACCCTGTTCCAAGTGATTTACAAGTATTTCATTTAACTCTCATAAAACTCCAATGCAAAATGTATCAGTTTCTCAATTTTACAGACAAGACAAAAGGATCAAGGAAATTAAGTAACTTGCATACTAGTTAAGCATTGTTGGAGGTAGGGTCTAACCTGTGTGTCTTCAGAGCCTCTACCCCTAACACTACATAGTGTTTTTAGCAGCTGTCATGGTAGGCTTCACTGGAAAAAAAAAAGTGCAATGAACTGGCTTATAATTATTTTCCAGCCTACATTGTGTTTTCCAGATGGTTCACCTCACAGCACATCCTTAATAGACTTCAAAGTTGACATTTCACATGTAATACAATAGCACATTTGTCTTGGACAATAGGGTGAGATAATGAAACATTTTACCTCTCCCTGAAACCCAGCTGTCTCTAGGATGAAACACAACCTATTGTTAATGCTTTAAACACATTTAAGAGATGAAGTGGATGGGAACATAGCGGGCAGCTGAAACTTAGAATTGTCACAGCTATGCCATTTAATAGGGTGGATAATTTATAAGTGAGAAAAGAGAGAAAATAAATGGTAAATTGGCATAGAATTTTGGAGGTAAATAGAAGGGAATGAGTAGAGGGGTGGCTGGGTGACTCAGTCAGTTAAGTATCTGCCTTTGGCTCAGGTCATTATTCCAGGGTCCTGGGACTGAGCCCTATGTTGGGCTCCTTGCTCAGCAGGGAGCCTGCTTCTCCCTCTGCCTGCCATTCCCTCTGTTCATGCTCTCCCTCCCTCCCTCTCTTTCTCTCTGACAAACAAACAAATAAATCTTAAAAAAAAAAGAAGGGAATGAGTAGAATCAGTTTCAATATTATAAATAATGCAGATTTCCAGTGATAACGTTCATATTCTAGTTGGTGAAACTATATATGAACTCACTATCAAAGTGTGAATACAAATCAATTTGTATTTGTATGACCCACCTCCCACCAGGAGACTTGATTCTCTCCATTTCATCAGTTGAGATTTATGCTTCAGGATTCATAGTATATCTCTTTCTATATTCCCATATTTATTTCTTTCCTTTTTTTAAAAGAAGATTTTATTTATTTGAGAGAGCGAGGGTGCACAGCAGGGGGTAGGGGCAGAGGGAGAGGGAGAAGCAGACTCCCTGTTCAGCAGGGGAGTCCCAGGGAGGGCTTGATCCCAGGATCCCAAGATCACGACCTGAGCTGAAGGCAGATGCTCAACCAACTGAGCCACCCAGGTGCCCCTCCCATATTTATTTAAGTTTAATTGAACAGTGGACATTTTAGCATCTGTATTAGTTTTCCAAGGCTTCCATAAAACAATACCATAGACTAGTTGGCTTAAACAATAGAAATTTATTTTCTCAGCTTGGTTTCTCCTGAGGTCTCTCTTCTTGGTTTGCAGGTGGTCACATTCCTGCTGCTTCTTCTCATATTCATCCTGTGTGCATGTAAGTCCCTGGTAATCTCTTTTGTGTGTCCAAATTCCCTCTTCTCATAAGGACACTAGTCAGATTGAATTAGGA